TCTGGTGTATGATATCAGAAACGAATGTTTGAATAATCAACATCAAAATGTAAAGATTTTGTTTATATTTGATTTAATTTTGCTTTTCGTTTTTAACTTTTGTATCTGGTTTTCTGTGGGAATATTGGTCATCTCCATTTAACACGTGTAGTCGATTATTGAAATAAAAATTGCATCTACATTTTAAATACTTAATACGATGCATTTCATATGTAAGAATGACAGCAACAATAAATGATTTAAATCCATTCTAAAAAAAATTGCAAATAATTTTACAGGTGTGAGGGACATGATCTGGTATCGATATATTGATATTCCAGTAAACTTTATCCATCATTTAATTAGTCTGGGGGATTGAATCCTGTCAGCGCAAAACTTTTGAAATTGCGCCCCCCCCCCAAACACACATTTATTGATACCGGTAATGTTGGTAATAAAAATAATAACACTTACAGCTGAATGGTTGTTCCTTTCGCCTATTTCATCCCTTTTATCACGTCCTGAACAATATAATCGTTTTTAAGAAATGTGCAAACCCCTTTTTTTTTATTACCATGAACTTCAGTTTTGAACAATGGTTTAAAAACTATTTCCCTACATTTAAAGAATACAGTACAAACAATTTTTTTCTAGTAAGATATCTTTAAAAACGTGACCGAAACCTTTCTTTTAAATACAGAGTTGAAAGCGACAATAAAGTACAGCCTTATTGAGAAATGCTTACGTAAATTTGTGTCGTCTATCAACGATTTTGACAAAACGACTCCAGAACCATTCTCATGTACGGGGCATGGCCATGACAAATGTGGTTGCAGTGAATGTGATGATTTTAATGTCTTAAATTAACATAAATGCAAACATATATTTTTTTAAAAGTCTTTTAGTGACCAACACTTTTTTGGTCTAAATTTGTGCTGAGCGCCAAAATTTACCACTAAATGTTTTGCGCTCTAAGTCTCTAAGTAGGAATACTGGCTCAACTCCAAAGCTAATTAATAACTCCAGAAAGCCCTCATCCGTTTATACTTAGGCCTACGTTAATTTATGTTTATGTTAATTCAATGTTTAACTCTTTAGCAGTGTTTTTGTGAGTTAAAAAAAATATCTCATATGAAATTAATTTCTCACAAAAGTGTAACACATATGCGTCAAAAGCGGCATATGATATACTGTAAATGTTTGTAACCAATTTCAAAAATATGAAAAATATATATATTTAAAAAATGAAATTTTTCTTAATATCAATAAACTGTAGTTGTTTTAATTGTTGGCTTTATAACATGATTGAAATTAACAAAATTAAAACATATTCCTGCAAAACTAAAATATAGTGGGTACAATGTTTTATTTTATTTTTTGTATAGTTTAAAAGAAATAGCAACCTGCTCCGGTAGCAACCTTTTCTTTTGTCACCTTGCTCTGGTGGCACGCTGCTCTGGTGGCACGCTGCTCTGGTGGCACGCTGCTCTGGTGGCACACTGTTGGGATGGCACGCTGCTCTGGTGGCACACTGTTGGGATGGCACGCTGCTCTGGTGGCACACTGTTGGGATGGCACGCTGCTCTGGTGGCACACTGTTGGGATGGCACGCTGCTCTGGTGGCACACTGTTGGGATGGCACGCTGCTCTGGTGGCACACTGTTGGGATGGCACGCTGCTCTGGTGGCACACTGTTGGGATGGCACGCTGCTCTGGTGGCACCCTGTTGGGATGGCACGCTGCTCTGGTGGCACACTGTTGGGATGGCACGCTGCTCTGGTGGCACACTGTTGGGATGGCACACTGCTCTGGTGGCACACTGTTGGGATGGCACGCTGTTCTGGTGGCACGCTGATCTGTGCCATTCTGTTTTATCGGCAATCTTAGTTGGCGCGGGCCCTGACAATTTGCAATTTTCCATTTGGTGTCACCCCCAACCCCCACCCATTTTGGAGGTTCAACTTGTGCGGTCTGTATTTTTTTCATCCGCTAGTGTTGTTGCTGATAATTCTACAATAATATGTAAGCCTAAAGTTAATTTTAAATGTAAACATTAAACTAAATCGTTGAAGAACAAAAACACGTTTTTATGTATTAAACAAAAATGTGAGTTTCTGTTTGTACAGGAGCCCAGCGTCATTGAAAATCATTTTCAGTTGTTAGGGAGAGGAAATCGTGCATGTCATTGCTTAAATTGCAAAAGTCTGTTAGATGAGAAACTACTTGCCAATTTTTTTTTTCAGCGTCGTTTCGGAAATTAAGACATAGCTCCCTGTTTGGTGGAGTGAATTATCAACCAATCCCATGGTTACATCGTTTTAATTCACAAATACATAGGGGAGATACAATGGAATAAATGATTTTTTTCAACATCAATTATTGATTGCTATTATTAATTAAAACATTTCATTTGTTAAACATGGAGCTGCATTTTGTTGTTCATTCATTTCAGTCCATACGATTTTCTGCCACCCCCCCCCCCAACCCCAGTGGCGTTGCTAGTAGGTTTATATTAAAACAGTGTTTCTCAACCTTTCTTGTGCCATGCCCAACCTAAAGCTTTCTAAAATTATAATGCCCCCTTTGTAATATATTCATAATTTTTAATATTCAAAAAATGAATTTTTCACTAAATAAAAACTAACTGATAAGTTTTAGGGAGAAGAAATTTTTAAGGAAACACAGTAAGTAAATTTTCAAAAGATGTAATGGAGAACTCATATTCAAGTACAAAATGAAATATTTTTCTAAAATATTTTAATTATTCATTTTTTCATGTATTATTTATTTTTTAATAATATTAAAATACAATGAGAAATCGCAAATACATTGAGATATAAAAAATACACAGTGTGAGATCACACATACCGTCTTGCGGTTTATGCTTGCTGCACATGCATTTTATGTCAGGCTCCAATTTAGGTAGTCTGACGTCTCCCCACTGTGTTATATCCAGATGATTTCTTATTTTAGCAGCAACTAATTTATGGCACTAAATCCACATTCAGCTAAATATAAAGATAAAAATGGTAACAATGGCTGTCTTGCAGATTTGGTAGAATTCGGATATTTGATTTCTGTTTCCCCACAGAGCCACGCCATCGCTCCTTTGAGATTAAATAAAGTTATAACTGACTCATCATTTTGCATTTCTGCGAGTTCTTCTTATGATTGCCTATATGAAATATCAAACAAATCCATTAACATTGGCTGCATCATCCAAGTTGGAACATCAATTTCTTTTATAGCACAACATCTTTCTTCTAAATCAGCCGACACAATTTTTAGATGATTGACAATAACAAGTAGAGATTAGCTGTATCAGGCACTTAATAGTTTTTGAGCCAATGAAACTTGTCAAAATTTTTGTTACAAATGTATTTCTGACATTATTCAATAAATATAATGAAACCAAATTAATATATTCATATTTGCGTCGACAAGAGTTTTATTTTCTCCTTGAAGTTGACTATTTAACATACCTATTTAGTTTTTCAATGATATCGTCTAAATAAATCAACTAAAAAGTCAGCAAGAGTATCGAATGATTAAATAAATATTTTCAAATACCGGTAGCATCCTTTCGAGAGCCACCTTACTTCAGTGTGAAATAAAAGTCTAAAATGGTCTGCATTTGGTTCTTCGCAAAATACCTTGAAGAAACGCTCAGATATGGGATTAGTTTTGATAGCGATAATAGCATTTTTATAGGCGTCTCGTTTACTTTGATTACTCTTTTCTGGTGAATGAACTTAAGCTGACCCCAACTTCGGCAGTGCAATTAGGGTGTGGCTAACTAAATAAAGTCTCTCTTGACCTTGGTTACAAATAACTAAAATCTATGGTCTGTATTATTATTATTAGAATTCTGTTACATTATGTAGAGATATCGAGAAAGGAATACAATGTGTAATTCCGTTCGAGAAGTATCTTTGAAACAGGGTATATTTACGCCTAGAGCAGTGGTTTTCAATCTTCCAGAGGCCTCGACCCTGTAAGACACTTCCTCATGTTGTGGCGACCCCCAGCCACAAAATTATTTCGTTGCTACGTCATAACTGTAGAGTATATGTGTTTTCAGATGTTTTGAGCTGACACCTGGAAAAGAGTTTTGCGATCCCCAAAGGGGCCTCGACCCACAGATTGAGAACCGCTGGCCTAGAGAGAACGAGCGACGGGAAGATGAGTCCAGAGATATTTTAAGCAATATTTCCATAGATATTTTTCTATATGAGACTTAGTTTTGTTTACTAACATGTTGATATATATGTGTGTGTGTGTGTGTGTGTGTGTGTGTGTGTGTGTGTGTGTGTGTGTTTGTGTGTGTGTGTGTGTGTGTGTGTGTGTATATTTATTTTCATATTTTTCCTTTCTATACAACTTTGTATCTTAGAGATATTTTATGCAATATTTATATAGATATTTTTCTATATGAGACTTAGTTTTGTTTATTATCATGTTGATATATATGTGTGTGTGTGTGTGTGTGTGTGTGTGTGTGTGTGTGTGTGTTTGTGTGTGTGTGTGTGTGTGTGTGTGTGTAGATTCATTTTCATAATTTTACCTTCTATACAACATTGTATCTTCTTCAACATTGTACTGGTACAAGCCAATCATTATACTGTAAGTCAATAGCTGTAATTTTATTTATTTCTGATGTTGTAATTTATTATTAACCTAATAAATTTATTAATTGTGATTAACCCTGGTTTGAGTATCGTATTCTTTGTTATTGTATTTAACAAAAGGTAGCGTCTTTTGTTGTGTACTGTTTTAGAGAGAGCCATACATTTAAATAAGAGATTCATTTCTCCATACTCATAATAGTACGTAACAAGCATTTATTCATTTTAGAACTGAATTTAGTACTTCATTAAGCCCCCGTACCAAGATTTTCCCAAGGAATAACACATTGCACAAGAAGGATTTCTAGATTGCCATCCTTCATCAATTTTGAACCAGACATTGTTCTGGCCCATCACATTAAAATCAACATCCATATTGAATTTGTTTGTGATATATTATTGACATCTAAGTAATATTTTAAGCTTATTACATACATCTTTGGCAGCAGTGGTGCTTTCTAATGATTTACACAACAACATTTCTTCAGCCAAATCTCCTTTATCAATATGCCTTAAGTAAGTTATCAGTACGGCCTCACTGTCTCTCAAAGTTGATTCATCCATTTGCACTGAGAATTTTTTTATTTTTAGCTTTTCAACAAGTTGTATTTCAATATCTTCACCCATTTCATGTGTTCTTTTGCTACCAATATTGTTACTGAGTGGCATATCTTTCACATCTTTGTCATCGTTTCCAGAACTTTTTAAAGAAATGCTGATATTGAAGGTTTGATTAAATTCTCTCCTATAATATGTATTTTGTCAGATGTAGCGATGATTATAAAATAATTTTATATCTGTTCTCAAGTGTACGGTGTACATTTGCACTTGCAGTATGACAGTTAAAGGAGGCTTAAAGGTTGTTCTTTTTAAAAAAAAATGTTTCTTTATAGTTTGAAAGTAATGTAAATCCCTATTAATAGGAGCATTATGTGTGGCTTCCGAAATGCACCTCAAGATGATCTCATTTCATTGATCATTTGGACAAGCATTGTTGGCATGGTGACAAGAAGCTGGCGGTTCATCATTGGATGGTGGGTATGAGTCCAAATTTTAAATACTCGCGCACATAATGACGATTTTTTTTTGCGCTCTACTCATTGTGCTGAGAGGCTAAAAGAAAATAAACAAAAAAAAAAAAAAAAAAGGAAAATTTAAAAAAAAAAAAAAAAAAAAAAGCAATAAAAAAATTACCACTTAATTTTTATACACAGTTATTTTTGCTACTGCTAAATATTTATAAAAGGTTATTAAAAAAAAAAGAAAGCAAACTTCAGAAAATGCACGTTATCAAACCGTTATGGTTATAAAGATTAAATCTGTTCTAATAAATGGCTCTTATTCAAAATAATAAGATACAAAAGACGGATCTAACAGTATGCAAAGAAAAACTATACCAGTGATAGTGATACTGAGATGTAATTTAATTATATCGATACATTTAGATGCAAATACAAATGTAATTACGGAATTTAAAAAAAAGTGTATCAACTTGCAGCAATTGGAAAATAAAGGCACATTACTTAAACTATTAGGAAACCTGGCGGCTTTATAGGAGCTTTTATCCGACCCTTCTAGTAGAGAAACATCCAGATAGGGCATTGGGATTCCGGAGAACAAATGGAACACATTCGAATGTAAGCAAACTGTTGACGCCAGACATGACGGGGTTTGGGGGGGGGGGAAGTATCAGTTACACGGTGACGCCGAATCCAAGGCCATTCCACTAGCAGACAGTTGTGGTGGCTTAAAATAAATATTGGCTGAAATGAAAAGTAACCTATACACTATACTTGTACAGACAAGTGATATAAATAGCTCTAAACAAGTGGAAGTTAAAGAAATGTCAAGCCCTGCGTTTTACTGGGATAACGCACCCGTTCTAATAATAATTTTATGTCAACTGACACTATTGACTACTTTTCAAATCAACGGTTTGTTACAGCACGTTCAAATTGAGACTTAAACGATTTTCCTGTTAAAATACAGGTTTAATCATAGTAGGCCGTTGGTTTTCAATTTCTATACAATTTCCGAATTGCTTACCCCCCCCCCCTTCCAACCTTACGAATCAAATTACCCCCCCCCCCTCTGCGTAGTCGGCCTCACATTGGGAAGCAATGTATTGAAATGGAGGCCTAACGTTCATTTAAATTTAAATATCCAACTAAATCCTATTGAAGAAAAAAAATATTCTGGGAAAAACGAATCAATAACTTACGTTTAAAAAAAATATGCATGTTTCTATGTGTACAGGAGCACAGCGTCGTTAGAGATCGTCTTGCTTCCGATCGGGCAATGCCATGATTGTCATTTAATTGTTCCATTAGGATAGACGAGATGTTAGCTGGTAACATTAGTGTTCGCTAATAACTTGTTTAAAATTTAGACACATGTCTGTGTTTAGAATAGTTGATTATCAGGTTTATTCAAATATTTACTTTCCTTTTTATCTGCAACTAAATAAGAGAGCACCAAAGGAAGAAATTAGTTTTTGTAACATCAGTTATAGTGGGAAAGATTCTTTTGTTTTACAGATTTCATTTTTTTCTCTTAAAATGGAGCTGCGAAAGATTGAAATTCATCAGGCGCTATTCGTTTGTGTCTTCATGAGCTTCTTAAAATGTTTCATGCTCGTGAAGGGACACAACTCTAATGATCTCACCAAGTATATGTCTTATAGAGGAACAATTCTGCCAACCTGTGAATACGTGACTTTTAACGCGACTTCCGCCATTGAGTGCGCCCGACTTTTCTCTCAGTCCACCAATTTTACGGCTTTTGTGTACGACCAGGGCGACACCTGCAAGATCTGTGAAATTCTTGAAGATATAGACTTCAAAGGCAATGGCCAGTTTTTCATGAGACACCCAAACGTTCTTTACCCTCGCCAGAACGAATCTATCAGGATACCCGGCGGACTGAGAGTCGGTCGGCTGATTGAAATCAAGACGAAGGTTATTTCCGAAAGACAATTGAAAGATGGTATCTGCATTATATTCTACACCGGCACAGCAGATACAATTGGACAAAGTATTCCATTAGGTTTTCAATTACACCTTAATTTCATCCACGTTCATGGATTTACTTATATCAATGGTTCTCTTCATAGTGACAAATTGAATGTAACTCGAAACATGTTAGCTTTCAAACGACTATTCACCACACGTTTTCTGGTAACTCCAACGGCTTTCAGGGTATCCATCGACGGTCAATTCTACTTCACGTATGATCACGTAATTACTGATTTTGAAACTATTCAGTACATATGCCTTAACTGTTTCGTTTTCAATCATTTCTACCCTTGTGGTTATGGGATTCTGAAGGACACTGAACTAAGATTCCCAGAAGCATAATTATTAACTGTATACAGGATTAAAACTGTCAGGAGCCTACAACAAAGCCCTTTAAATTTATTTTTTTAAAATTAAGTTATTTATGGCAAGGTATCTTTTTAAAAAAAATCTTTAGTATGGTAATACAATATTTTACATTCAAATCCTTTATCAATATTTTACGGAACGCTACAGAGCACTTATTCTCCATACCCTGGTTATAAAGATTGGATTTTGAATTAAAGTGAAATTTTCTATTTAATTGCATTGCATGTTATCGCTCATGTATTTTATGAATTAGCCGGTTCACAAAAACTGCTATCTAAATCTAAATCTAATTTTGTGTGTCTGTAACTTAAGTCTATTTTGTTGTATCCTTGTTTTCATTTGCTGGCGAAGGCTTTTTGCAGGCACATCCGATGTTTCTTTGTGCTCTTTAAAAAAAATATGTTTTTTTTTGTCTACCTTGTGTCATTTACTTCCCATTATCAACGGCAATGAACCGTATATTTGGGAAATTCTATTAGAAATAACGGCATTAATCGATTAATGAATGGTTGTTTAATCTACATCAAAGTGTAAAGATTGTGTTTATATTTGATTTAAATTTGCTTTTGTTTTTAAATTCAATATACTATTTACTTTTGTATCTCACTTTCTACGGGAATATTTATCATCTTTATTTAATATGTGTAGTCGATTACTGAAGGTACGTTGGACCTACATTTTAAATACTTATCACAATGCACGTCATATGTCAGAATGACAGCTACGATAAATGATTTCCTCGTTCGGAAAGACAAATACTGCGTGATATTTATGAGTTGACGTATAACAAAGAAAAACATCTATCAACGAGCAATTATTGAAGAGAACGAATTTAGATATTGGTATCCTTATACAATTTTTTTTTTCAAAGCCACTAAGCAGTATTTTCCAAAACATGAAGGGTCTGTCTACCAATGTTTATGTCCGTCACATCGTGTTTTAAGAAATTCAAATCTCATTAAAAAACACTCACCCATTATAACGCCCCTGGACTGTAGATCTATTTCCTAGAACCGAATTTCTTTAAAAAAAAAATAAAATAAATAAACGTAAATTAGGTTTTTTATTACTTTTGTAACGTGGAATTTTAAGTATTTGTATCCACACTTAAATGAACCCACCCATTTTTTCCCTTCCCTCAAATATATTTTCGGGAATTAATAACAACAGAATTAAAGTCTATGTTCATTTATTTTTAATTAGCAATTTTTACTCTTACACATTGTTGTTGTGATCTTATATCTCACATTTGAACTAAATATAATTATAACACAAACTTGTTACTATCTTCTTTATAACAGGATGGTTATTAACAACATTAAAACATATTTCTGTACGATTGCATTATATGGAGACAATTTTTAATGTCTGTTATAGTTATAAAAATATAGCAACTTGCTCTGGTGGCGCCCTTTTCTGATCTGTGGCATTCTGTGTTATTGGCTCCCTTAGTGGGGGCGCACCCTGTCAATTCACAATTTTCCACTTGGTGTCACCCCCCCCCCCCCCCCCCCCACACTTTGAAGGTTCAACTGGTGCGGTCTGCATATCTCTCACCCGCTAGTGACGCTGCCTATTATTCTACAATAAAATGTCAGCCTAACTGTAACGGACTATGTTTTCACATGTAAACAGAGAGGTAGCATGAGTGGACAGTGAGTGTGTTCACCAGGTTTTTCCACGGGGAGAGACAATCAATGTGGATTGTATTTTTGAGAACAAATGTGAACTCCACGTTTTTGGAGAGTAAAATTATGTTTTTGTCAGAGCGGTTGTTTTGCACGCTTTGCTGGTAATAAAGTATGAGTTGACTGAGATAAGGAGAGCTGAGCGCAGAGCAGTAGAGTCAGTCAGTAGCGTGAGAGCTGTGTGATTAGACAGTTGAGCTGAGTTATAGTAGTCTGAGGACGTGTCTTTCTTAATGATGGAATACTATAGATATATATGTGAAATTACATTCATGCAAGGATTATTTATTAATATTATCAATATAAAGTGTGTTCAATAAAGTACTGTGAGTTTTAACTAGAATTGAGTATTCTTCTTTACGTGCCTGAATAATAAGTGAAAGAATGAAGAAGACTGAGTCGGCATCCTGAAGCGTTAATATAAGTAACCATACTACTGACATAACCCACAGCATAAGAAATAACATCCCACGCCATGTCAGAGTAGAAGTGTGTTACAAATGGTGTCAGAAGCGGTGTAACGACGATGCGTTACAAATATTGTCAGAAGTGTCAGAACAACGATGTATTACAGAACATTGAGTAACAATGATATATTTTAACATTCGAATCGAACGTC